ACATTTGAAAGCGATAGACCCACCGTGCTGTTACCATCCGACGACGCAGCTGGGAACACACCAAGAAAAAACAGCAGTTCCATACCAGTATTTCTGCAGCCTCTTGCTGATTCTAGGAAAAATGCTTCTTCATCAGAAACAATTACTAATAAATTTCTTAAAATATGGTAATTTCTTGAATCTGTTTGAAAATTGCTTTATAAGCATACCACCGAAAGTAAAAAATTGAATTATAATATATTATTAAATATACTATCTGCCTTATCTGAATTTCTTTATTAGCAAACCATTTTCGCCTTTTATATAAAGGTATTTTTTCAGTCCTCGTGATGAAATCACCTTAAACACTATTAGGGGTGAAAGTGATCCGGTTGATATCATAGCTTTGAAAAACGAGAGCACAAAATATGTGTTTTACAAAATCAAAATCACGTCACCGGAAAAGTTTCGCGTTCGACCAAGTACAGGCATAGTGGCCGCTGGTGATACAGATCTCGTTCGTGTCTACGTGCAGAAAGGTTCGGTATCATCAGAATTTGTCTTCTCTCTTTGCTACTTAGATTCTTTATCAGTTACTTCCTGTAGACTCGTGAATTAAAATGCATTTGGATTTGAGCTGTTGTTCCTGGTTTCTGTTCATTCGAAATGATTCTTTTGCAGAATATAAGAATTCGGTTAACCAGGACAGATTCCTTATTATGGCCGTCGAAGCGGAAACGCGCGAGAGTTCAAACTTTGCATCCTTATGGAAAAATGCTGATGAGGGTTCAAAAGTAGAACACAAACTGCGATGTCGCTTTGCGGGAAGCACAGAAAATAATTCAGCTTTGCAATCAGCTCCCGATGTAGATGTAAAACTTTTAAATATTTTTTGTTACCCTACAGGCCTTTTTAAGCACTGTCAACAGTTATTTAGCAGTCCCATAAAATTATTAATTTTAAAGTGACAAAGCCAACTAAACAGTTCTGCCTACACGTGCTTAATTAATTTTGCTTACAGGACAGTTTGCGCCAACAAATTGCACAGATCTCAAAATCACAATGGTATTTAACCATAATAATTGTTATATTGGTCGGCTTACACCTTGTCTCCCTGTTCTTTACCTGGAAAATTTATTACTCTGTCTCGTCATCACAGGAGTTATTACACCTCAAAGATACAGAGACCAGAAATATCGAGCCTATAGATGTTGATTCAGAATTATGACGTTGAATTGGACTAGTATTACTAATGAAGTTGTATGTTTACATAATGTTACTGCGTCACATTCCCATCTGAGCTAAACTCAATCTGAAATCACAATTCAAACAAGATTTTTAGCTGTTGTTGCTTTGAGAATCTCAATCTGCGACCAAAATCGTTTGACAGAAGAATCACAATGTTTAATTGCCAAGGTTCTTCACGAAATCTTTTCCAGCCAGCTCGTCCAAATTTCAAAATGCGTGCACAAAAGTGAGGCGAGTTACGGGCGTGAACTAAAAGTGCAGTGGGAAATTAATCATCAACTGTTAACTTGTAAACATCACACAAGTGCTGATAAAATGCTTACTAAGTAAAGTCCATCTCCTTACTTCACACGTAATAGGGCAATAGCGAAATCCACCCAGCGACGACACGAAACCGTTCAGCCAGTAACACCGGAAGAAATTGATAAAAGTAGCATTTCCCAGTGACGACGATAAAACGCAATAACTTGTTACAACTTTAACCTTTTTATTCACAAAAAATCCAACAAAAACAAATCACGTTGACTTCCCGAACACAGCACACCTAATCCCTGTCGGAACTCACCCCGAAGGAGCAGCAGCATCTTCTCGGTCTCCAACCGTTAACTTCCAGAGGTTCTCATGTTTCACCACATCATCTTACAAAAGAAGGATTTATGAGTACAAGAAAGAACAGGATCTCAAGTTATAGGTTCAGGTAAACTTTTGGCAAAAAAGCTAAACAAAACTAAAAAGTGTGTGAATAAAGTATATACATATTAAAAACAAACAGAGTTAGCAAACCATCATCCTGAATCAAAAAGAGCTTCGTTTCATGTAAATACGTCTTAATATTATAACAGCGATTGAAAATCAATTTCTGGGGTAAGCTTTCACAGCTCACTAGTGGAACCCAAGCCCTTGCCCTCTCCCCAAATGCGTCGTAGACCTCGCTATGGCATACTGCTGGTCAAGATTTTTGTACAATGCACGTTGACGCTCACGCTCAGCCTCCAGTTGAGCTTGGTTAACATCTGGCTCTGTAGGAAGTTCGTCACTTTTTTTAATCCCCATCAGTCTGAAAACTACGTTTTAATGACAAAAAACTTTGCCAGAAAAAAATAAAAGAGCGCACCTTTTAAACTTATCTAACTGTTTAGAATCAGAAGATGTAGCTGCCAGAATTGAATTCCATGTAGAATTTGTTAAAGACTTCGAATTATTCGACGCATCGTCATCTTCCTGGAATACTTCGCAATAATGTGAACTACAAATATTCATAACTATGAAATCTAGAATGCTAAAAATAAGAGTTGCCACCGTTAAAACTTCAGGGTCATACTTTTTTCTCATCATGCTTCCCCCAAAGTAATTTCCTCTGCTGGATCTCTTCAGCTCGTTTTATAACTGCTTTTGTAGCCCATGCCGGCCTGTCTGCATTTGCTTCTTCGTCACTATCTCGACTGCAAAAATTGAAGAACTTGGTATTCAGCGTGTAGAATAAAAGTATTCAGTTATATCTACTAAAAAACACTACGTTTTCAATCATTATCAAAAAATATACCAATAGGTACTAGAAAATTGGTCTAAATTATTGTTGAAAATTAATGATACCTGCGCCGATCCGGACGATCATTACCCCTTCGCCTCCGATCATGATCACGTCCTGGCCTATCATTTCGCCTCCAACGCGCATCGCTCTAAAAGGTGACAAGACAGAGTGGCACCCACAGCCAGACTCTTCAGTAAACAAAAAGTTTAGTGAGTAGATACAAGCGAAGAAATAATCGTTTTTCAAATTAGTAACATAATTTAAAACCGAAAGTGCAAAGAAGGAATAATGCATATTTAAAAAAAAAA